CTTTCCAGGGGCACACCCTTGGCTACTTGCAATGCCCTCAAGCAGCCTTTCCCCAGTCCCTAGAAATAAAGACCCTGTGTCATACACTTTTATACCACCTTGGGCTCCGCCTACTGGGTTCAAGTGATTATCCTGCCTCAGCCTCCCAAGTACCTGGGATTACAGGCGTGCACTGCCAAGCCCAGGAAATTTTTGTATTTTACTTTATAAAGAATAGAGACGGGTTTTCACCAAGTTGGCCAGGCTGGTCTCAAACTACTGGGCTCATGTGATCTGCTGCCTCGGCCTCCAAAAGTGCTGGGATTACAGACGTGAGTCACCACGCCCGGCCCAGAAAGGTATTTTTAAAGTTTTATCAGGAGATGTTACTTTAGAACATTTTAATTTGCATATGATTTTTGGTTTAATTTTGAAACTTGATTGCACTGCGTTGGAATGGGGTGGAAATACAAATATTTCTTACCTGTCGAGGGACTCTTGAGGCTCCCCCTGCCCCGCTTTCTAATCTGGATTGCAAAGGCTGTAAAGACAGTGAAAGGGAGGGCCTGAAATTCAACTGAAAAGGTTCCAAGGAGCGGGCAGTGAAGGAGGAGAGGGGAGGGAGAGACGGAGGGAAGGAAGTGAGAGGGGATGGGAGGGAATCAGGACAGACCTTTGACCCCTGGAAACTGATTAAGAAGGAAGTGGGATGCTGCTTAGAGAAAGCTGTTGAAGACTCAGTGAGGACCCTGTTTGGACACCTGGAAACTCCTATGGGAGCCTAGTCTTCAAGGGCTGTGGGAGTGAGACACACCCTGCCCCCTGGGGCTTCTACTGGAAAGATATCTGCCTTTGAACTTCCTCATCTCTGTTTGAGCTCTGTTGGAACAGGCATGTGGACTGCCTCCCACTCCGCACCCCATCCCTTCTGAACCCCAGTAGCTGAGGGCCCAGGCACACTACAGAGAAGGTGGTGGAGTCTGAACAACAGAGAGAGGAGGGAGGACACCCATCACCAGTTGAGTCAACCCAGAAGGCAACCCTCAAGCCCAACCCTCATTCTTTCCTTTGAGTAGCAATTGGAGGAAAGGTTTTGGCAATCAAGCTGGACAACAACTGAAAATCCAATCAGGATAAACTGCTTCAGACATGTGACTGGAAAATGATTGGGTTATAATGGGCTTAAAAGGAGTGGGACCTTCTGATCTGGCCTCAGAAAGGACTTTGAAGAGCAAGCGGCATTGTTTGCCTGCAGAAGCATTGCTGCTGGTCTCTGGACAAATTTCTCTGGGAGGTGGAGACAAGGAAGCTCCAGCTTCACTTTCCCTCGTGGCCCAGAGTGAAACATACTGAGCTGCACTGGATCATCTGGATGCACAAGCAACTTTAGGAACTGGTGAGCTGAGAAATTTGGTATCTTTCATTTTGCCTCTCTAAAACTAGAGTTGGCAAACTTGTTCTGTGAAGGACTAGATGGTAAATATTTTAGGCATTGCGATTCTCTGCTTCAACTACAGTAGTCTTCCTTTATCCAGGGTTTTGCTTTTCGTGCTTTCAGTTACCTGCAGTTCCAAAATATTAATTGGAAAACTCCAGAATTAGGCAATTCATAAGTTTTAAGTCTCCAGCCCTTCTGAGTAGTGTGATAAGCTCTTGAGTCAGCCCTGCCCTGGGATGGTAATCCTCCCTTTGTCCTGAGTCCCCATGCTGTTGTCTGTTTGCACTCTCTGTACCTTAGTCACTTAGGAGCCATCGCAGTTACCAGAGTGACTGTCCTGGTGGTATCTCAGTGCTTGTGTTCAATTAACCCTTATGGTACTCAATAATGGCCCCAAAGCACAAGGGTAGCCAGGCTGGCGATTCTAATATGCCAGAGAGAAGCTGTACAGTGCTTCCTTTAAGTGAAAATGGGAAAGTTTTTAATGTAATAAGGAAAGAAAACACAATCATATGCTAAGGTTGCCAAGATCTACAGTACATAAAGATATTTTGTCAGCGAGAGACTGCATTCACATACCTTTAATTTAATTAATTTATTTTTTTGAGATGGAGTTTCACTCTTGCTGCCCAGGTTGGAGTGCAGTGGCATGATCTCAGCTCACTGCAACCCCTGCCTCCCGGGTTCAAGTGATTCTTCTGCCTCACTCTCCCAAGTAACTGAGATTACAGATGCTCGCCACTACGCCCAGCTAATTGTTGTATTTTTAGTAGAGACGGGTTTCACCATGTTGGCCAGGCTAGTCTCAAACTCCTGACCTCAGGCAATCCACCCACCTCAGCCTCCCAAAGGCTTACAGGCATGAGCCACCACACCCTGCCTCACATACCTTTTATTACAGTATATTGTTATTTTTTTTTTATTCTTAACCTCTTACTGTGCCTATTTATAAATTAAACTTGATCACATGTGTATATATATATATATAAACATAGTATATATTGAATTTGGTTCCATCTGCAGTTTCAGGCATCTACTTTGGGGGTCTTGGAATATATGCCCCAAAGATAAGGGGGGACTACTGTACTCAACTCTGTCATAAAAGTGCGAAAGCAGCCATGGACAACAGCACTAAACAAATGATCATGGCCGTGTTTCACAGCACTTTATGGTGAACACTGACATTTTGAATGTTATATAATTTTCACGTCATAAAATATTCCTTTTTCTTTTTTCTTTTTTCTTTTTTTTTTTGAGACAGAGTCTCGCTCTGTCACCCAGGTTGGAGTGCAGTGGTGCGATCTTGGCCACTGCAACCTCCACCTCCCAGGTTCAAGAGATTCTCCTGCCTCAGCCTCCTGAGTAGCTGAGTAGCTGGGATTACAGGCATCTGCTACCATGCCTGGCTAATTTTTGTATTTGTAGTAGAGAAGGGGTTTCACCATGTTGGCCAGGCTGGTCTGGAACTCCTGAGCTCAAGTGATTCATGCCCACCTGGGCCTCCCAAAGTGCTGGGATTACAGGTGTGAGCCACCACGCCCCGCCTCCTTTTGCTTGTTTATTCCCCCAGATTTAAAAATATAAAAGTTTGGCTGGGCGTGGTGGCTCACGCCTGTAATCCAGTACTTTGGGAGGCCGAGGCGGGCGGATCACAAGGTCAGGAGATTGAGACCATCCTGGCTAACATGGTGAAACCCCGTCTCTACTAAAAATACAAAAAACTAGCCGGGCGAGGTGGCGGGCGCCTGTGGTCCCAGCTACTCGGGAGGCTGAGGCAGGAGAATGGCGTGGGCCTGGGAGGCGGAGCTTGCAGTGAGTGGAGATAGCGCCACTGCACTCCAGGCTGGGCGACAGAGCGAGACTCCGTCTCAAAAAAAAAAAAAAAAAAAAAAGAAAGAAAAGAAAAAAATGTAATCTTAATAACAGAAAAAAGTAAGAAAACAATACCTTAAAAGTGTAAGAAACATTCTTGACTTCCTGACTGTACAAAAACAGGGGAAAGGCCAATTTTCCAATTCCTGTCTTAAACCATTGTTTGCCAAAATGTAGTTGATATCCCATTAGCGAACTATAAAACAAGTTTAGTGGGCTGTCAGCTTATACAAAGAAATAGGATTTTTCGCTGACTGTAAGATGCCATCAATTATAAAAGTCACCCAGGCTGGATGCAGTGACATGATTATAGCTCACTGTAACCTCAAACTCCTGGGCTTGCAAGGTGTATTTTACATCTTGTGTGGTAGGCAGTAATAAATGCTAAGTTGAAAAATAGCATTGAAGGTTAGAACATATGAGTTAAGGAGGTTGTGATTTTTGATACTGTTGTCAGGGAAGCCTTGCTGAGGAGGAACCACTGACGTGAGGCAAATCAGGAGCCTAGATGGGGTTAATCTGGGGAAAGGCATGCAAGGCCCGGGAACAACAAAAGTTCTGAAAAAGAAAAAGGTCTGGTATGTTCCAGACTCATGGGGCTCAGGATGGCTGCAGCAGAGGGAGAGGAGTTAGCAAGGGTGATAATGACCTAAGGTTCTATGGGGAAATTTTAAGTTTACTGGTATTTCCTATGAATGAGATGGAAAGTCATTGAAGACTTAAGAGCAAAATATACTTGCTCCCCTGTATATTTTAACAGGGGCACTGGGGCCACCATGGGGAGATCTGACAACTTTTAAGTCTGGCAACTTCTGCAATGATCCAGGGAGAGAACATAGTACCTTCCATCAGGGAGGTGGCAGTGGATATAGAAGAGAGTAGTCAGATTCCGGATATCTTTAGAAGATAGAGCAGACTGAGTTTGCTAATTGATTGACGGTGGTGTATGAGAGAAAGTCTGTCAAAGGATGACTCTGAAGTTTGTAGACTGAACAACTGGGTTTACTGAGAAAAGGAACATTACAGGAACAGCAAAGGGTGTGTGTGTGTTGTAGCTTTTATTGTGTGTGTGATGGGGTCTCATTTGGTTGCCCAGGCTGGAGTGCAGTGCCATGAACATCACTTTGAAGTCCTGGGCTCAAGTGTTCCTCTTGGCTCAGCCTCCCAAGTAGCTGGGACTACAGGTGTGTACCACTATGCCAAGCTAGTTTTTTTTTTTTAATTTTTAATTTTTTTTGGTAGAGATGGGGTCTTGCTATGTTGCCCAGGCTTAGAGCAGAATGTTTTTGAGAGAAGTTTTGTTTAAGTTGGCTAGAAACCTTAGACATCTGAGAGAGTACATCTGGGATGAGGAGGAGGTGAGCGAGGCATCTAGAGTGCAAAATTTAGAGGCGAGCACTCTGAGATATTCCATCTGCACCTCCTGAAATCTTGCTTCCTTTGCCTCACAACTGCAGAAGACCAGGGTAGGAGAGAGAGGTGAATTTGAAATTATGCCATTTAAAATGTTTCAAGCCTTATTTCTGATGTGTAAAAGAGTGATGTTGATAGTTACCTCAGTGTTTTAAGGGAGGGTACAATAAAGTAATGATTTTGTCTTTTGAAATAAATATTGACTATTGTCACATAGTTGCACTTAGGTGGCAATTTGTAAAAAGACAGCTGTGGAAGTTGAAGGGACCAGTGGCTTCAAGCAAAAAGTAAACTGAAAATGGGAGATGTCTTTTTGTGTAAGGAAGTGGAATCACCAAAGAAGAATTTGAGAGAATCCAAAGAAAGCGACAAAGATGATGAAGATCCAGATCTGATCTTTGTTGGGGTGGAACATGTACATAAAGATGCTGAAATTCTCTTTGTCGGGATGATTTCAAATTCAAAACCAGTCGTTTCAAACATTTTGAACAGAGTCACCCCAGGCTCAAATTCAAGAAGAAGAAAAGGCCACTTCCGTCAAGATCCTGCTCACGTGTGGCAACCTGCAAATCATGTGACCTCTATGGCAAAAACCATCAGGCCAGTTTCTCCATCTGAGGGGAGATCTACAGATAGTCCTGTCACTACGATGTCTTCACCTGAACCTGCTTATAAAATGGGCTCACCACACGTTGTTTCTCCCAATTCCTCAGATTCTCTCCCTCCAGGGACTCAGCATCTAGTTGGAGCTATGTTCCCTGGAGGAGGCAGAAGTGAGAGTTCTCCTGATTCCAAGCGACTTTCCACTTCAGATATAAACAGCAGAAATTCCAAAAGGGTTAAACTCAGGGATGAAATCCCAGGGGTACATTCTTTAGCTGTGGTCCCTTCAGATAGCTCTTCTATAATAAGCACAAATACACCCTCACAGGGGGTCTGCAACTCATCAAACCACGTTCAGAATGGAGCAACATTTCCTTGGGCTGATGCTAATGGAACAGCACATTTCAATCTTAGGAATCCAGAGAGAGCAAATGGGTCTGATGGCCTGGTAATAACAGACATTTCAAGTCTAGCAAGTCAAAAGAAGACCTTTGATCCCAGGAAAGAAAATCCCATCGTGTTACTTAGCGACTTTTACTATGGACAGCATAAAGGAGATGGGCAGCCAGAACAGAAGACTCACACCACCTTTAAATGCCTCAGTTGCGTGAAAGTTCTAAAAAATATTAAGTTTATGAATCACATGAAGCATCATTTGGAGTTTGAGAAGCAGAGGAACGACAGTTGGGAAGACCACACCACCTGCCAGCACTGCCACCGGCAGTTTCCCACTCCCTTCCAGCTACAGTGTCACATTGACAGTGTGCACATCGCCATGGGGCCCTCTGCTGTCTGTAAGATCTGTGAATTGTCATTCGAAACAGATCAGGTCCTCTTACAACACATGAAGGACCATCATAAGCCTGGCGAAATGCCCTATGTGTGCCAGGTTTGCCATTACAGATCGTCGGTCTTTGCTGATGTGGAAACACATTTTAGAACGTGCCATGAAAACACAAAGTATTTGCTTTGTCTGTTTTGTCTCAAACTTTTCAAAACTGCGATACCATACATGAATCATTGCTGGAGGCACAGCAGAAGGAGAGTCCTTCGATGTTCCAAGTGCCGACTACAGTTTTTGACGTTGAAGGAGGAAACAGAGCACAAAACCAAGAACCATCAAACATTTAAAAAGCCGGAGCAACTGCAAGGGTTGCCTCGTGAAACGAAAGTTATTATTCAGGCTTCAGTTCAGCCAGGATCAAGTGGTGTGGCTTCCATTATTGTGAGTGACACTGACCCTCCGCCTTCACCTGTAAAAACTAAAACGATGGCTATGAACACTGGAGATTCCAGACTCCCTTGCAGCAAGGATTCTCGCTGAAAATATGTTCGACTCACTTCCAGGAGTTGCGAAAGGCAGAAGTGAGGCTAGGCCATGTGTGCTTTGTGGCTGTAGATGCTAGCAAGCAATGTCATCAACTGTCAGGTTTTATTTACAGTGACATCTCATCAGCTCCCTATTGTCAAGAAGTAGCTCCAAAGTCTTCGTGCCCTTTCCCAGTCAGCGAAAGGCAGAAGTGAGGCTAGGCCATGTGTGCTTTGTGGCTGTAGATGCTAGCAAGCAATGTCATCAACTGTCAGGTTTTATTTACAGTGACATCTCATCAGCTCCCTATTGTCAAGAAGTAGCTCCAAAGTCTTCGTGCCCTTTCCCAGTCAAATGCTCCCAACAAGCCATCCCCTATTCTGACCTCAGAGGTTTTTCTTGTTTATGAACTTTAAATAAATGGAATAACACAAAGATTCTTGTCTTTGGCTTTTTAAAATAAGTGAGATGGCTGGGCGTGATGGTTCATGCCTGTAATCCCATCACTTTGAGGGGTTGAGGCGGGTGGATCACTTGAGATCAGGAGTTTGAGACCAGGCTGGCCAACATAGTGAAACCCCTTCTCTACATAAAATAGAAAAATTAGCCAAGTGTAGTGGTGGGTGCCTGTAGTCCCAGCTACTCGGGAGGCTGAGGCAGGAGAATCACTTGAACCTGGGTGGGGGAGTTTGCAGTGAGTTGAGATCGCGCCACTGCCCTCCAGTCTGGGTGACAGAGCAAGACTCTGTCTCAAAATAAAGTAAAATAAAATAAGTGAGATACATTTTTGCTGTGTGTAGCAGTAGCACATTCTTTTTCATTGCTGGGTAGAATTTTGTTGTGTGACGGTGGCAGTTTTATATAAATCCATTTTACTGTTGATGGACTTTGAGGCTGATTCTTCGGCAATTTTGAATAAAGCTGCTACGAGCTTGTGCGTATCTTTTGGTAAGCATGTAATCATTTCTTGTGGGTATGTATGGCTATGAGAAGTGCTGGAACTGCATATATTTAGCTTTCTAGTGTAGATACTGCCAAATACATTTCCAAAGTGGTTGAAACGATTTACATTCCCACCACCGATATTGCGAATTCCATTACTACTGATCCAGCACTTGGTACTGTCAGTCATTTTAGTAAGTGCCCTTCTCTTGAAATTGTAGTGGTACCTTATCGTGGCTTTAATTTGCATTTCCCTGATGAGTAATGGACCTTGAGATTATATAGTTATCAGCCACCTGAGTATTTTTTTTTAATTAAATGTCTATTCAAGTTTTGCCCCCTCTAACCTTTTTAAAAATTGGGCTGTCGACCGGGAAGAGTACGGGAAAAGTGCTGGGGCACTGGAAATGTCCCATATTTGGATCTGAATGGTGGCTTTATGGGTGTACATACGTACATTAAGGTTTATCTTTCATATATCTTATTTAAGAAATTGTCTACCAAGGACAAAGATATTCCTTCTATGTTTTCTTCTAGAAGCTTTATTGTTTAGATGAGACATCTCAAACTGATTTTTTGTTAATGGTGTGATAAGGCACGAAGACTAATTTTTTCATATGCATACCCCAAATCAATCAGCACCTCCTACTAAAAAGACCACTCGTTCCCTACTGTATTGCAGTGGAAACTGTGTGAACCAGGGATGATTGTATATATGTGTTTCTGGAATCTATTTCATTTCATTTGTCCTGTTCTCTATCCTTGTGCTAAGGCTGCAGTATCTTAATTATTGTAGCTTTGCATAATCCTCCATGTGGTAGTTTCATTTCTCCAACTTTGGCATTCAAAGTTGCATTGGCTATTCCAAATGCTTTACTAATTGAAGTGGCTTTCATGGGTGTCCTTTGCGTGGTCTCAAACTCAGGTATAGTAGTTTACTTTAATTGTGATGTTAGCTGTGGGGCTCTTTGTAGTTACCCACTGACTGTAGGGGAATCGACTTACAAATCAGTAACAGAAAGATCACTGAAAAAAACCCCAAAGTTTCTCAATTAGGCAATACAGTTCTAAACAGGGCTGGGACTAGGGTGAAGCAAGCAGGGAACCTAAGGTGACAACGTGCCATCCCTGAAGCTGGGGGTGCGTCTCTCCTTAATGCACCCCAGCCTCCTTGCTTATCTCACCCCAGTCCTGGTCCTCATTCTAAATAACCCATAGCTCCTCTAAGAAATTGCAGTGAAGAAAGGAAAATGTTGAATTGAAAGGTATTGAAAACAAGCACAAAATTTATGCAATGGAATTAACACAGTTCCTGGGAATTTGTATTTTTAAATGCATATATTTGGAAAGAAGAAAGGCTCACTAAAGATCTAAGTCAATGCTGTCCATAGATCTTTCTGTGATGATGACAATGCTCTACTTCTGCTCTGTCCGATATGCTACAGGTGACTACTGATCTGTTGAAATGTGGCTAGTGTGACTGAGACACTAAATTTTTAATTTTATTTACTTATGATTAATTTAAAACTAAACCTATTTTTGATTAATTTAAAACTAAAGGAAGAAGAGACAAATCTTCCTTAAAGAAGAGTTGCAAAGTAATTTGCACAGATAATTTTCCCTTAATGAGACCTCATGGCCTTCCTGCGTGTAGGCAAGATTTGGTGACTTACTCCCAAAGAATAGGGTACGAAAGGGGAGAAAAAGTAATTTACAGTGGAGAAACCAGTAGGAAGTCATATTGATAGCATGGATTGCTGATGAGAAATTACGAGAAGGACACATCATGTCTGTGATAGTCTTCTAAAAACCATAACCCCAGTGTAACCACTAGAAAAACATCAAACCTAAATTGAGAGACACTCTGAAAAATACCTGACCTTTACTTCTTAAAATTGTCAAGGTCATGAAAAGCAAGAAAAGTTTAAGAAACTGTCACAGACCAGAGAAGGCTAAGAAGACAAAATGACTAAGTACAAGTCAGTATCCTGCATGGGAATCTGGAACAAAAAGGATGGTGGGAAAAAGTCGCGACATTTGAATAAAGCCTGAATTTTAGTTGATACTAATTTACTGATGGATATTGGAATTGTTACGAAGCCAAAAGAAGATCATTTCACATATATTTATTTTTCATTTTATTATTTTTTGTGACAGAGTCTCACTCTGTTGCCCAGGCTGGAGTGCAGTGGTGCAATCACAGCTCACTGCAACCTCTGCCTCCCAGGTTTAAGCAATTATCGTGCCTCAGCCTCCTGAGTAGCTGGGACGACAGGCATGTGCCACCACACCCAGCTAATTTTTGTATTTTTAGTAGAGACGGGGTTTCACCATGTTGGCCAGGCTGGTCTTGAACTCCTGACCTCAAGTGATCTGCCTGCCTTGGTCTCCAAAAATGCTGGGATTACAGGTGTGAGCCACCACGCTTGGCTTCATATATACAGTTTAGATATTGCAAATATCTTTACATCTCAGTGTCATATATACATTTTAGATACTGCAAATATCTTCTTTATATCTATGATCTCTTCATTTTGACTAAGGTACACTTCACTGAACAGAAATCTTCAAATGCAAAGGTCAGTAATATTTAGGCCATGTTATTTGATTATAATACAGTTAAAAATATCTTTTAAAAAGCTCAGAGACTTCAAAAATAAATAATTGTAAAAAAAACTCACAGATTTCAAAAATAAATAACATACTATACAACCCTTGTGTTAGAATCACTATGTAAAAAGTAAAGTAGAGGTTCCTCTTCAAAGAGAGTTTCCTCCCTGTCGAATTAGGAATAGTCACTTCTCTTAGAAGTAAAATTTATTCAAAGACCTGTGCTAACATTCTTAGATAACTGCTAGCTGTAATAAATAAATTAATGTATTTTGTGTTCTTAGCTCCCACAATTTAGCCTAAATATTTGCCCTGGCATGCTTATACTGGTCCAAGCAAGCATTAGGTCATAGCCTATTCCTCTTCCTTATTTGGAGGTGTTTTTACCTTTCTCAGCATTCCACAAGTTACTTCCTCCTTCCTTTGTTCTCCTCTGCCTTTGCCTCTGTTAGAAAGTTCTAAGTTGTTAGCCAATTGGGACAAACACAGAATGTGAGGTTCCGTTTCAGCCAATGGAAACCGGACACAGCAGCAAGGTGGAAGCGTCAGGTTATAAATAGCCCTGTATCCTTTGTTCAGGGTACTCTTGGCAAAACTGCTGGCGAGTGTACCCTTTCTGCAGAAAGTAAAAATGGCCTTGCTGAGAAAATTAAATTTATGTTCAAGTGCTATTTCTTTCTGGTATTGGGGAAGAAGCACTTCTAACAACTAGGAAAATTAGGACATAACTAATTGAAGGATAATGAAAATATTACCAAGCAGAACTGGTGGGACACAGTTAAACCAGTACTTGAAGGTAAATTTATAGCATTAAATACAAGAGAAAAGAGTTTACAAGCAAATGAGGTAGGCATTTTTCTCCAAAAGTTATAAAGAGGAGTAACAGAGCAAGCCTATGAAGACAGGAAGGAAGGAAATAACAGAGTGGAAGAAATAGATGAAATAGATAAGAAAATAACATTATAGATTAACGAAACCAAAAGTGATTTACTCGCCCTCGCCAAAAAAAGATTGCTAAAATAGACTTTTGGCAGAATTGGTCAATTAAAAAAAATCAAACCCTGCAAGTAAATTGAGTGGGCAAACTTTATGTAAAGGTCCAGATAGTAACTATTGTAAGCTTTTCATACACGGTCTCTGGCAATTAATCAACTTTGCTGTTGAAGCAGGAAAACAGACATAAATAATACCTAAAGGAATGGGCATGTTTGTTGTTCCAATACAACTTTATTTATGGACACTGAATTTTGAATTTCATATAATTTTCACATGCCACAAAATATTATTCTCCTTTTTTTAGCCATTAAACAACGTGAAATCTGTTCTTAGCTTGCTGCCAGCTGTACAAAAACAGGTGGCAGGGTGGATTCGACTGGCCCCAGATGTTAACTAGAAGAGGACAGATGTAAGGCTCAGTTGTTTCGTCACAATCCCTTAAGCATGGAGAGCCAGCA